CGAGTCAATCTTAAATTTTGATAATTTCACTTTTTACTACTTTAATTTTAATATTTACAATAATGTACAAATAATTCTTAAAATATTTTTCAATGAAAATTAAATTTTAAGAATTGAATCTTTCCCTTGCATTTGTTTTATTGTTTATCACATCATATACAAATAATTTCTGAAAAGTTTTTTTACTAAATATAAAAAAAGTTAGATTTTAAGAATCACATCTGTCATATCACATCTTTCTGTTTCTTATAACTATCTTGTAATAATAAAATAATAATGATCATTTTGTTATTTATTTCTACAATAAAAATAGAAAAATTCATTTAATAAATGTAATGTAGTACGTGAAACTGTGTAAAAAGATTTACAACAAATATAACAATGCTAATCAGAGTTTGTCATATTACGTAAGTGCAAAAAATAAAAATGCGATAATCGTTGACCTTGCAACCGGCTTCATTTTGCAGTTCCGAGTTATTAATAAATCATAATACAAATGATCTCATTGCGATTACTAAAAAAACTCTAAGTTTTTTCGATATATTGTTATCACATTGTTAAAAGACAAGTTCAAAATGTGAACAAACTACGCAGCACGTTTCGCTCTGATAATCAACAGTTCGACTTTTAGCTTCAATCGTGCGTATCAATTTATTTCCTTTGGTGGCAAAAGATGAGATCTGTTTAATTTTTTAAATAAATTTTACATGTTATATTCAAAAAAGTATTGAGAAATCTCCAAACTTTTCAAACGTACCATTTACAAACGTATAATTTAATATTATTATACGTAAACATATTACGAACATTTAACATGTAATTACAAATAATACGATCAATATATTTATTTAAACACAAGGCATTTCAAATAGCAGTTTATGAAAATTGTCATTAAAAGGGCTAAGAAAAAAAATTTTTATATTTTTATACAAAAATGTTAAAATTAACTTTTAAGTGTCGTCGCACTCTTCCAAGTATTAAACAATTTTATGAGATTTTTTTTTTTTTATAGAATTTTATAGAAAACTTTTCACATATTTACATAAAACTTTTAATATATTTGTTCAAGTTATTATTTTGTATCATTACTATAATTTTTAATGACATTTGCACACATAAAACGAGAAAAATGTTAGAAAATAGAAAATAAAGGATTGGCGATAATTTGATGAAAAGAGAAAGGAGAGAGAGAGAGAGAGAGAGAGAGTAATAACTTACGTATA